ATTGTGTTATAAGTATTATTTCTATTCTTTAACGTTGTGTGAGTAGAACATCTGTAACAAACAAATCCCCCCCAGGGATCAATAAAGTATTTCTGATTCTGATAAATAAAACCTCTCAAGTGACCCCATAATAATTTGAATTAGCTTAATCAAAATACACTTTAGATGAACCAGGAACAATGCACAGGGGCCTCATTACACCCCATGCTAAGTTTCGTGGAAATAATAACAAATTTAGTATTTTTTATTTATTTATTATTATTATATAGGTTAAAGTGTTTCAGACAGTGTTCAGTTGGTTTACAATTATCATTTCCACTGAGTCTTGAGTCTTATTGTGTAGAGCAGATCAGCTGAACATGTAAAACTCAGGCCAGCCAGCCAAACATATACTGCATAATGAAGAATAAAGTCTACAGTAATAAATTAATAATTAATGATTGCAAAAGTGGCGCAGTTCTCTCAAAATAACCTGGGAAGGAAATCAACCATTGACCCAAAACAAGTATTTTTCCTATAATCAAACATTTTCTGAAGTACTGGACAATTTTGAGGTGCTTGTACTTAACTATATCCTGTTCATGCTACTTTATATTTCTAATCCACTACATTTCAGGTGGAAATATTGTGTATTAACTTCACTACATAGGTTTCTGCTGATTACACCTACTGGGGTTAGATCTGTATGTAAATATGGGTCCAATTTTCATAGTGAGTAATTTAAGCACATTTTGCTAGTAATATAAAATACTTTATCCAAGTATAGTTTTGAATGTAGGAATATGTATCAATATTTTGATTTAGATTTGAGCTATTAATACTTTTTGTACTTAAGTAAAGGATCAAAAGGATTTGCTTGTCACAGATTGTGACAAACTGATTTCATGGTTTTATTGCATAATACTTGCATAATGCTTTATGCTTTGTCACAGCATGTACTATATAGTACATACTATATGTGAGTGTTTATTATTTTCCAATGATTCTCAATAGACCACAAACGTATGTTAAATAACAATAATAAGTTTATTGTATATGAAGTTAAAACACAGGTACACAGAAGTCCAATCACATTTTAAATACATACAGCAAGCAATGCCTCAACTTTTGTAAACACTGTTCTACTACAGTTTTGCCTATTACACTCTTACAATTTGCTTAGCAGTTACAAACCTATTTGTAATCTCAATGTCAAAAATAAAAGGTTAAATCCCTGTTCCTGCAAGAGACTCAGATGTAGCTACCTGATGGTCACTTGCAACCGAGAGGAAAGCAAGGACTCTAGGTTTTGATGAAACTGGAGGGCCTGTGTGTGTGACAAAGCATGTGTGTGTGAGTGGTAGGTGAGTCTGTAGCAGTAACTGGTCTGGCTCAGGTCAGGATGTGAGAACCTGTCAATGAGCTTAACTTGCTCCACGGTCCCGTGACTGGCCTCGCGGACCACAGCGTGGAACTTCCTCTCCTCCCATGTCGGCCCTGTCCAGAAGCTGATGTCAAAACTGATGTGCTCGGGAAACAGGGAGAATGGGTGGAAAGGTTTCCCGGGTGACGGGCGGAGTGCAAACTGCTTTAAAAAGCGTGGGTCGTGTGACCAAAGCAGCCGCCAGTCGGGGAGCGAGAACAGGAGCACGGCCAGGAGGTCCAAATTTAGGGACACGGTGACGCTGACGTCGCTGATGTTGTCGCTTTCATTGCTTACAGACACCCTACCGATCAAACCCATTGGCTGTGCTATCAGACGCAGACCTCCCTGTTCTGTGACCAGGGAGACCCCGTAGGGAGCGAGCAGCGTCTGCAGCCTTTGTCCGAGCGATCTGATTGGCTCACATTCCGAAGGGAAAACGCCTCTGAGGAGAAGTTCATGATAGGCAGGCAGAGCCCAGAGGTTGATAGACAGGTTCCTGAACACCACACCACTAATGCCAAATAACAAGCTGGTAACACCATTACAGCCCCCACAGGGCCCCTTCTTCCTATGTCCGTCCACTTCAGCACTTTTATTATTCCCCTCATTCTCCCCATGACTCCCCGCGTTGTTACTCAACTCGTCTGTTTTAGTTACGAGCTCTTCCATCTGAGGGAGCAGTGATGGACGCAGCACATGAAGACAATTTTCCCATTCAGGATCAACATCAAGAGAACATGCAGACCTTAAGCTCTCAGCTCCTTTGCTCCTAACTCTCTCCGCTTTGTCTGAGGTTACACATGCTGCCGGCAGAGTGTCTCGTGCGTCTGTGCGTCCCCGACTGTCCAAGAACGTTAACTGATCTTTTTCTTTGTCTGTAGAGGTATGGGCGTCACAGTTGAGGTTTTTCTGAAGCAGGTGGATCCAGTAGCAGTGCGTGATGTCGACATCACTGCAACACGCCTGCAGCTGTTTGGCCGTGAGGAGGAAGGGAATCGTCTCTGTCGTCATGGAGATCAACCACTTCTTCGCTAGTCCTTCGAGAAGAAAGTCTTGCACTAGCCTGACAGGGTGGACAGAACCTGAGCACAGAAATCCCCTGATGAAAGAGAGGAGACAGTAAGCACGTGGTTATGTAACTTTTTTTTTTTTGCGTTGGAGGCTTGTTACTCGAACAGCATGAGAGTCTCTGTGTTTCTGTACCTGAATATGTAATCACTGAGCTCAGCTGGTATGTTGTAATGGACTTTCTCCCCTTCAACCACCTCCTCTACTTGAAGTATCTGAGCAGAGGTGTAGGGGAGGCAGCGAGTGAACACATGGAGCAATGCTTTCTCCACATGAAAGCCCTTATCCTGGCTCCTGTACAACAGCAAACCCCATCATTAGACAGCATCAATACACAAACACAAACACACATTTTATCCACTGTAACACTCACCTTTACTCCTTACCTGTATCCAGTGCACTTGTAGCTCTGGTATTTCTCTCTTTCAAAAGGACGGACGTCAGTAAGGACAAGCTGTGCCTCTGCTGCCATGGCAGCCACCTGCCAGCTGTTGTGCCACTCTCGCTTCGGGTTGTCCGCTGGTGTCCCGCCCTGTCCATTGCACAAGGAAACATGAACCTCCCCATCTTCAGCCAACACCTGAACACAACTGGAGGCACAGAAAAAAACAAGTTGTCAGTATATTTTCATAGAAAACAGAAGTTGGAAACTCTCAGGTCATGCTGCTGGCCCAACATCCTGGATCAAGCACTATATGTATATAAATAACTGTATATATTGGTTTATTTTATCTTATTTATTTTCTTCTTTTTTTTGCTATCTTTTTCTATGTGTATAGCACGAAGGAGGTACAAACTTTGATTTCATTACCCAACCTTGTGTTGTACATAATAAATCAGTTCATTGATTAATAGATTCATTGTATGTACACCGTTAGAGCTGAGTATCATCTGCCCTACCCTGCCAATGCCTTACTTTAAGAAATATTAATTTATTTTGTAAAACTTTCCTGTTTTCATTTTAAAATATATATATATATTTCTAAAGAAGTTAGAGTTCTCAAATGTCAGATGAAGATGAACACAAATCTAAAACAGACAAACCCTGACTTAAATGGAACTGATTGAACTGATCAAAGAATAAGCATTCAACGTCAGCTTTTAGTATACAATAGTCGTCAATACTTGGTGCTACAGACACATTTTGGTCAGTACAAGAAAAAAAACTCAGGAATGATACCTAGGCCTACTCATGATTTGCATGATCAGTGCTATGAAAAGTCATAAATGAGTGTAAAGTAACAATACCCCTGCATTAAGAATTCCATGTATCACTGTTATATTTTTATTCTGTGTATGTGTGCGTGTTTGTAGGCTATATATTCTTGTTCATTTATTTATTGTACAACTTGATATATTTTTTTGTGGTTAAAATACTCACAAATGTTTGGTCTATTGTGAAAACAATAAACGAATAATCATATAAAGAAAAGTAACAATACACACAAATGAACTATATATATAATTGTTTGACTAAAGAGGAGGAAGATGCTGCTGAAAGCTCTGAATAAAGCAAGTGAGTTAACCCTTGAAACAGATGTTCTTATGTCTTTTGGTCAAATCTACATTATTTCAAGGTTGAAACAAACAAATAATCTTATAATTCACCATATAAAATATATAAATGTCAATGTTAGAGACAACAGACACTGCTGTGAATGGACCGACTCCCATGCATCCCCTATAATGCAGTCCTACCTGAGGAAGAAGTTCTTGAGAAGTTCTCTGTTCTTCTTAACCCCACTCTTTCTCCCGCAGTGAGGGAAGTTAAACACCACACGGTCAAACACACGGCCCTGGAGGGAGGCACACTCCCCGAGCTTCCTGCAGTCCAGCCCGAAAACCACCGTCCCCCCTGATTTTAAACACACAAGAGGCGGTACAAAAAGTGTGCACCAACAGAACAACCCAGCACAAACAAGCGCGACAGCACTCACACACACTCGTACCTGAGTCCTGGATGATCTGGATGTTACTGGCTGCACCTTCATGCCGCAGTGCCTCCTCTTGACGCTGCAGGCAAGTGGCTGTTATGCTGGTCTCCGTTTCAGAGTATAACCGGCTCATGGAGGCAGAATATGAGAAGTTCCCTTCTCCCACCAACAATATGGACCGTGAAGGAGACATGTCCAGTCCGACTGAAAACGAGCGACACACACAAACACACAAAAAAAACCCTTGAACCAAAATCTATCTTTCTGTCTCTGTGAACGCGACAGGCAGCGACGGTCTTCGCGGTCTAATATGATCGTAGTGGTTTCATATTTTAGTGAGTAACGTCCGTATCTTGTGTCTAAGACTGGCTCGTCTGAATAACTTCTATTATATTGACTTTAATGTATAATACAGCTGTCGACCTTCCTCTGCTCCCCGGCGCTGCGGCACATTAAAACCCAACAATATTCTCTCACCTGTGGCAGCCTGCGTTTGACGCCGTGTCGCAGATACAGTAGTCCGACAAGAAACAAAACCCTAATGGACGTTACGCCGTTTACGTACGCACTCAACGCCTAACGTATTTTAATTTAAAGTTTGACGGGTGGAAAATGCGTAGTTGTTATTTTAATAGCATCCCCGTTGAGTTTCATAAATGTAAGAGTAAAAGAGTAATTTGTCAGACCACGGGGTTTCCCGTGGTGGTTTCAGGGGGGACACATTTTCAGGGTGGCGCATCACATCTGGAGGAGGGAGCTATTTGCAGCATCAGTTGATCCCAGCATCAATGATCTTCGCCTGTTTGTGGTTTATCTCTGAAGAATTACACCTGACACATTTTCTGATGTGCCATCTTCAGGTCCGCTCGGGATTTTGAAGTCTGTCGACAACAACGGAAGTGAGTGGTGAAAGAAACTGGCGCACACACTGACAGATAGTGTGTGTGTGTGTGTGCTGATGCTAAGGTCATGCTAGCTAACGGAATTGCTGCACCTGCACATGAAAACAACAGACAGCCTTGCATGTTGTGCACGGTCGTAATCATTCTTGCAGTTGAAATTTTAAATGCAATATAAGCCAATTTAAAGAACTAGCAAAATCCATGTCAAAATATAACTGTGTATTCTTATTTATGTTTGCATCTTGTATGCCATTAACTTCTTCTGCACCTCTCTGTGAGTGGAGGTGTTTGTACCACAACGTACCTTTAAATTATTTGCATTGACAACATCGGAAAATGTGTTTTTTCTTTCTCTAAATTGTATTTCAGTGCAGGTTTGATGCTCTGCCTCTGTTCTCTGCATTAAGGAGAGACTCAGGCTTTAAATAGTGCAGGCAGAGACTGCAGGTGAGATAGATAAGTGGGTTATAGCATCATAATAAATCTCTCCTTTGTCTCTTTGTGTCTTGTAGGAGGTGTTGCGCCCACATGGGCAGCGTTCTGGCTTTGTCTTCCGGTCCGGGCCATCAGAACTGGCCTTTCTCCACGGACCCCTCTCCTTCTCGCTGGGACGCACATCCTGCTCACTGGGACAGTCCGCCACGCTGGGAGAGGAGAGATGGCCGCCTACCCAACCCAGGCAGCTTTCACTCTCTCCACAGGAGCTGCAAAGGTATGTCTGGCTAAAAAGCAAGAACTGTGAACAGGCAATTGTATGCTTTAGTATTTCTGAAATCAATCACTATCTGCAATTTCCCAGCTTGGG